TGCTAGAGATCCCTTCTGGCAGCGAGGCAAACAGTTCCTTTTCCCCCAAATGTTACAGATATTCAACTTTCCCCCGAATTATTTCTCAGGTAAGTATGTTCCATCATATAGTAATATTAGGTAGGACGGCTGATCAGTTATATTGTTCTGGTTAAAAAAAAATAAATGTAAAAATGCGCATCATCAAGAACGTCATAACCAAAAACATTATATCTATATCTATTTCAGATCAACATGGATCGTCGACAGAAGATATGGACCTGAGCTGGAATGGTCTAGTTACCCTGCACCGGCAACGGCTGAAACATCCCGGTTGCGATATCAAGTTTTACAACCATTTCATGGAATGCTTAGCAAATAGTGAGTAGTAGTAGTACTCTTAATGATAAATCATTGGTGTGAATATATCGATATATATTTAAACAAAGTGTCTTAATTCGATCGAAGAGAAAAGGGAAAATTTTATTGATTGAAGTCAAAGTCTCTGAATGTTTAGTGTGGGCGTTTAGAAGTTATCTACATTTTCCATTTTTTATTCTGTATACTTTTTTATTTTAATAAGATACTAATGTGATATATTATCGAGAATCTGGCATTATATTAAAAAATATAAAATATTTGCTGTTACAGATTGCAGCACTATAGAAGCTCTGTACGATTCTTGCGTAGAGACGAAGAAAATGAGGACACTTGCTCGACTATTGGAGGGCCACAGAGTGGCTGACACACCCATATTTAAAGCGATACGAGATGTTCAAATATTAGGTAATCACAAACACTGCTTCTCTCTCTTATTTTGAAGATTGATTCTGAAATCAACTTAGCAATTCGGATTCAATTGTGAGATATTCTGCTTCATAGTAAAGAGACGAGTCTCTTTAAAGGGTGTATGTTTTATTTTGAAGATGGAGACGAAATTGATGAATTGTACGATATGGCAGAAGATTTGGATCTGGAAAACGGGTCCATCATGGATCTCCTAATGGATCACTTATTCAACACCCACCCGTATTTTATGACAAACAAGGATGATATCCTAAGTGGATATTTCGGTAAGAATAGAATTAATCCCTAGTTTTGCATTCTTTTTTGCCGTTCTCTTATTTACGAAGAATAGCCTACCTTCGCAAACTTTGCATTTTTAAAAAATTGAAGATGCTATTACCGTAAGGTTTTGGGCGTGAGTGATAATACATTTGGTTAATTACGTTAAGTCAAAGTCAAGTCACTGAACATACCTTATCTACCTGACACTTTTTTCTTTTCAGACATCGACCTTGTATTAAGGTACATGAACAACTGTGCCGACTTATACCGCGTTGTGGACGAAAAGTTCAAATCATGGTGCTTGTTCAGTGAATACGACTTCGATTCACTCGAACATTACGAATCACTTGGACTGCGGTATTACGATGTACAGACCTTGTACACCTCTTTTCTTTGGGATTTGCATTATCGCCAGAGTTCTCGCGGTGCTCTGTGGGACCCCAGTAGAGCCAAGGAGGAAGTGGTGTGCTGGATGAATCAGTTGTGGACATGTGGAACAGATATTTTGATCCGAAAGATGGCCGTCAAGAGGATAGTGCAGAGAAATGCTTGGTTGCATTTGATGCCCGAGATCGAGGGATCAAATTGGTACAGGTACGTTATTTTATTCTGAGAGTAACACACAAAAAGGAATTTTAATATTTCCTGATCTTCTCCATTTGAGAATTTGAATCGACTGAGGGTGGCATTTGATGCAGACGACCGCCTTGGGTTTCAGAATACTTCTGGGTAAAACATGTAGATCTGCTCACTGTTAAATTTATCCTGAAACGTCAAGTACCAACATGGCGTTTATTTTCGTACTGTTGCACATCTATTTCAGACAATACCTGGAAGAAGGCGACGCAAACCCGATGCCTCTGTCGAAGTTACAGGAAGAGATGTTTCGCAGGGAACAAATGTACTGCTCTTTCAAAGAACTGAATGCTAGACAGAGGGTGCATAAGACCCAGAAACGCCTTGTAGAACTGCTGTTGCCACAAACATGCTACAAAGATGTTACATATTATGGTAATTTAATCGCATGTCAACTTAATTACTTTTATTTCATTCATTCTTTTTTCTTTCAAAGAATTGTGAAAAGATAAATGCCATGAATGGTCGGTCTCATAAATTTATTTTCACCTGCAATTTGAAATACTCCCCCCCCCCCCAAAAAAAAAAATAATAATATTTTAATTTTTTGTGGTTTATTTTTATTGTGCGTTTGTTGGTACTGACAATATAATATCATTCAGCGCAGTGTATAGTTTATTTAAATTGTTCACGTATTGTGTCGACTTTCAGACGGGCCTGCTCCATGCAAACAGTGTGCCCGACCCTCGCAATATCGAAGACTGCACAAACTTGTGAGGGACTACATCGACACAGGAAAAGAAGAAACATTGGTAGAAATTAGGGGCTTCATCCTGTTGACAAGTTTCTTTGCAGAGGAGAAAAATGTGCGAGTCCCTATGGCTTGTCAAAGTTGTCAGCAAAGACATAGGAGTAGGAAAAACACAGCTGAGTCACATTGTACAGACTGTAGCAGAACGGAGACTCACGCCAAAACGACTGCGTGCTTCACAAGTCGATACTGCAGTGCGACGAAGTTATCGTCTTTTGCTTTGGTTGCTACGCGAGGTAGAAATTACGACTCCTTTATATTCTTTCATACTCTTTGTTTTCTACTCTCTAGTTGGTTCTATCCGTTTCTCTTTCTACCTCTTTGTATCTCTAGCGGCCTTCTCTCCGTTTTCATCACGTGCTTCATGTGTCAATCACTTTTACAAAACACTCCTCGCTTTTTAATATTAATTCATGGCTTCCAGTTACCAACATTACTCACCTGCCCTAAGGCGCTTTTTAGAACTCGAAGGCCTTGGCAGGAATACTGGACAGGACTCTGATGACGTTTTTTTTTTTTTAGTGAATGAACAGGCGTTTAATAGTATTTATTGTGCCTGTCTTCGAGAGTTGGCTTGTTTATGACTAGTTGAGGAACTCTCTTAAATTTTATCATCATCACCTGCCTACGTATCCCGGGGTTTCGGTGCAGAGTAATTTATACCAGCGTTTGTTATGTAAACGAAATAATTACATATCAGTGGTATATGTCAAGTGTTGTATTTTTATTGTGTAGCCAAATCTGCATTAGGATCATGCACTGGTTTTGTTTTAGAAGTTTTATTTATCAGATATGAGGGATTTTATTTGTTTTTGGGCGATGCAATGATATACATGTACGTATAGGTAAGTGTACATTTATATCGATTTTGTGTAAATATATATGACTTTTAAAAATTATGATTATGGAACGAGAGGCTCTACCAAATGGTAAAAATTGTAGACTACCATTCATCAATCCTGTGTACAGTGTAGCAAATTTGTTAAAATTATGGCTTTTCCTAAATTGATCTTAACACATAATAATTAAGATTATTTGCTTGCCGATTTTATTATACAGTATGCACTGTGTGAATATGTGCTTTATATTGTGTACAATATGAGTCAATTGTACAAATATAAGTTTTTTTAATAACAATTAGGTTCACTGAAAGTCTATTCAGAGATGATTATTTCTATGTCAAAGTGCTTTTTGTGACACAATTTTATTCATATATTTGAAAATAACCACATGAATTTACAGTGTAGGCCTATGTAGTATATCATAATGAACTATAGATATCAATTTTCATAGTTTCACCACTTATCTAGAATTTTTTAAAATTTATTTGCTGTGTTTAATAATTATGTCTTATGGTATGGCGTAAATGGGAATCACCCAGCGCAAGCCATCTATATAGTTGAAGGTAGGGGAAAAAACTTACTGACACCACTTGTATGCTGGGTTTTGTGGTCTCTACATAGTAATTAAAGCTGACGGGAAATTACTGCCGTGAAAAGTAAAGCTGGGAACCCTATAGACTGTCAGCCTGTTCACACACAAATAAAAAATGTAATTTTTGAAAACAAAAACTTTTGTGTGAGACATATTTGTTAGTGTATAAAATGTAGTAATTTAAGCGTTATATGTATATGTATATGTATATGTACATACATATATTTGAATACAAACATTGCTTTGTATAATGCTATACAATATGTTCAATGAGGACCGTGCACACTTTGCGTGGCCAGTGCGGTATCGTATTTTATCCATATGCAAAGTTTACGAATAAACATTATCACAAACAGCAGGGTCTTTTCTTTCATTATGGAAGCCCGACAACAAATCAATTTCAATAAAGAATTGAATTTAGTTTACTTTTTTATCAAAATATGTTAAAGACACCAATCTTTGGAATTCTGACACGGCACGGTGTCAAAGATAGTGCATACATCAGTGAGAAATATATTTGAGAAAAATAAATCGTGACTTAAATCATCGTGCAGGCTTAGGGGTTTTCCATTTTATCACCATCTTATCAAGTCTACAAACTGAACGCTTCTAAAAACTAATAATAATAATAATTATGATCCAAATTGGTATCAAAAGTCATTTTTAGCTTTTCACCATGTACGCTCTGAAGGGGGGGGGGTGTCTACGCTTTGTACTAATGATTATAAAAATGGATGGTCTCTTAGGACTTAAGCCTAGTAATAGTGTTAGTAGTAGAATTTTATTCTTACTTTAAGTATACAATATGGCACAGTGAGCAGAACAAACATGCCGAAATATATAATTTCAAATTAAAACAAAGGTAATTACAACATGAATTTACCAGTAGGCCTACCTCCTTGCACATTGATATCTTTGAAATAATAAAATCCTTTGCTTACCGGTTTTATGGTATGCACTTTTATGAATCTGTTCTTTAATATTGTATATTATTGATTGAACAAACATCTGCCCATGCCAATAAAACATACATTATAAATCTTGACGTGGATTAACACTATAAACTATAAATAGTGCAAACAGGGAATTCCAAGGTCACATGACCATGACGTCATTTTAGGGCATTCCCAAAATGGCGACAACGTGATGTGGCAAGATGCTAAGTTCAGCTCGTCGTTTTTTTATACGCAGACGTTATCTGGGCTGGACGTCTGCCGCAGGCGTCTGTCTTCTACTTATCTGTATAATATACGTTCTTTCTACGGGGTCTTGGGAGGCGCCAAAACTCAGGGCAGTTGCAAATGGCAAGTACGCCGATCTGAAAAAATCCCGTTACGAGAATCGAAATCGCCATAAACAAGGCCCTGGAGAATACGGGGCAGGGGTTTTCCTTCAGGGGGAGGAGAAGAAAAATGCCGATGAACTGGCGAAAAAGGAAGCGTTTAATATCATCGCCAGCGACGGGATAGCTTTGGATCGATCTTTACCCGACGTGAGAAATCCTGCGTAAGTGCAAATGGATTTTGAAATAATGTGCATAATTGCAGAACAAAATCTCTTCCTTTCCTTCCCTCAAATGAAATTAATTTCAGACACATTACCAGCACCCACTGTACAATTTGTGTGCCATTTTGAAAGCGCTTAACAGTAATTTTACTCTTTGACTTAATTATTAATGTATTTTTTTAGTTTAATTTTATTATATTATTAATTTTTTTCCAATAGGTGCAAGTCTGTGGAATATCCCAAAGATCTCCCCACTGCCAGCGTTGTCATCATATTCCACAATGAGGCTTGGACGCCCTTGCTGCGTACTGCACACAGCGTTGTGAACAGATCCCCTCCGCAATATCTCCATGAAGTGATTTTATTAGATGATGCCAGTTACAGAGGTAATGATACGATTACGTGGACAGTTTTCATATACAGTGAAGACTTGAAAATGTAGTTGGTTTTGAAAATTTTGTCAGAAGACAATTCTCCGCCACAGTAAATTTGTTGTACTTGAAAATTTTCAGGTCATCAAAATTGGATGAGAAACTTTATTAATTACACAGGAGCATTTCTCTATATTTTAATTATTAGAATATTTGATATCATGTCATTAACAGCTGTGCATTTCTCTCTACCATAAGAAAAAAATTGTGATAAATAATTTTTTTTTTTTTTTTTTTTTTTTTTTGCATTTTCTAGACCGGTTAGGTGAAGAGTTGGACAAGTACGTCCAAGATACCTGGCCTGATGGAGTAGTTAAGGTCGTCAGAGTGAAGGAACGAGCAGGTCTTATCCGAGCGCGTATTGCAGGCGCTAAAGCTGCTACAGGAGATGTCCTGATATTCCTGGACTCCCACTGTGAGGCTAATGAAGGATGGTGAGTGGTCTTTGTCCATTTTGCTATTATCTCAGATTGGAAATTTAGCCAGTTTGAAACTGACTAGACTGTGCTCCGGTTTCACAAAAAAAAATAAAAAAATAAAAAAAACTTAGTCACCAACGTTACATGGTCACATGTACGCATCTTACCCTATCAGGAACAATGTTACACCACTCTCATGGAGATCCTAGTCTACTAATCCAGGAAACTGACTTAAGTTTTTTTTTTTGTTTTTTTGTTTTTTTTTTATGTGAAACCAGGGCCATATGCCCTTGCTGAGTTTTAGACTGTAGGTTATCCAACATGTTCCTTTACTTTCAGAATGCCTCCTTTGACCCTGAGTTTTTTAAAAATTAGATTAAAGGAAACTTGCCTTAAAAGAACACTGCAGTAAATGCGTTTGCAAGTGTTCCAGAGTCATATTTTCACTGTCAGCATCCTGCAAAGCCACTAAAAATCTTTCCCAATTTAGATCTAAAAAGCTGTAAATCCCCACAAATGAAAATTCCTGACGTGGACAGTTCCTTCTGTAAATGTACAGGAAGACATTGTTGAAAGTGACTGGCCAGTGATTTAATATTAAATGAGAAATATAATAATAATATTAATAATAATGGACTGAAACACCAAATTCATGTGCAGGGACTGGTCCATTAGGAAAAAATTGAGTAGGAGAGAATTGCTTTGTGAATTGTGAATTTTACAGATGCCGAATTTTTAAGTCAAGATTTCTTAAAATTAGAACATTCCTGTTGAGTTGTAGCAACAAAATCAAAAAGCAGGTCACTCTATAGTTCTATTCAATGCAGTGAAAGCACTGCAAATGCTATTTAGAAGTATAATTTTTGTGTTTATAAAATTTTGTATCTAAAAATTTGATCATTTTTGTCTATCCAAAAGAACAAGTAATTACCCAAAGTTAATAAAATGGATATTTGGAATTTGTTAATATTATAAACCTTATTATGCCCAGCAGTATTTTTTATGTAGAAACTTTAGAAAGAAAATAAAAGTATCTGTCTCTGACCCTATTCTCTTGTAACTAGGAATACATGCATTAGATTATTCACAAAGGATTTTTGTCTGCCAAGAGAGTTATTGGTTATTGACTACATTTGATACTATAAGATTTTGTTTTAAAATATATAAAAATATTTTTCCTTATTATTATTATTATTATTATTTTTTTTTTTTTCATTTTCACATATTTAGGTATATTATTCTGAAAAACATTGCAGTAATGTACGGGGGTGATACTGTGAAAAGTTTATCCCCTACTCCACCATCAAAAACCACCTTAAATATTTAGGGAATATTGTGACATAAAAAAGCCACAGGAACAGCAAAAGTTTGGTAGGACTAGAAGATTTTATGTGCAGCTTGTCGGAAGGACCAGTAAAGCCCCATTTTTCTTGTGGTGTCTGCAAATTGTGTTATTTTGCAATTCATGTACCTGATGTCTTCTCTCACACAATCCAATTCTGATATTTATAAAAAATGTGTTATTTTGCATTGATGTCTTCTCTAGCACAATCAATCCAAATACTGATATTTATAAAACCCACTCAGTATTTTTTTTTTTAACTCACTTAAATGGGTTCTGTGGTTGTAACACATCAAAATTGAATAAAAATAGATATGTTTGATTCTGTTATAGGTTACTGGAAGTAACATAACTTTTAAACCTACTGGGAATACCAGAATCTTCATCCATCCCTTGACCTTATTGAATTTGTTTCTTTGAATTTTTTCTCTCAATGTCAACATATATATATAAACACGTAGGATTCATCGCCATTGATGTAGTTGTACATTTATTCACTACTCATCATTTGTTGTTTGTCCAGGCTTCTCAAATTTAGATTGTCCAGGCATCATAAATTTAGATTGATCCATCTAGTTCAACCTAACTCCCTGGGGGTTCATGCTAAATTGCTGTCAGTCAAGCACGCACGGTAGTTAATTACCCCCTTACACCTTTTAGTAGTTGGGACAGACATTTAAGCCAGCTAAGCTGACAGTAATCTAGTGAGACTCCCCACAGGGAATGATCGACCTAAAATCTGTGGGAATGGGGTCTAAGAAAAATGGCCCAGCTCTTGGAAGTTGACATGTCTCACTACTGCAGTGACGAGGATAAGATTGCAGCAGGATAAAAGAGCTGCTTTAGGCTGATGAGTTTTGAGTATAAATTGATGGGCCAAAATAGCTGTCGTAAAAAGAGATAAGTGGTTTTAAACAGAATGTCTGTCAGTGCCATGTAGTCTTCTAAATGCGGCCCCTAGTTAAATGGGTGCTTAGCATGTCCCCCCATTGTTAAGTACACTGTACATGATAAGGGAAATTTTGATATGGTCTGTGAAATAACCCTTTTTACTTAGGTGCTCTTTTGACACCAGAAAAAAAAAAGTAGATTCCACCTCAGATTTGTGTTGTGTCACTGTTTACACAACAAATTTAAAGATGGGCATCGCATATGGGTCACCAGATAGACGAAATAACTACAGACATGCATTTTTGGACATGGGTTAGCCTAAACATACATTCAGTCTAATTAGGGCTGATATATGTACTAGTAGGGTATTCTTTACTGGATTCATTCAAGCGATGAAAGTGTGACTGTACTAACTGGAAGGTTGTATGGGGTGGAAGAGTTATCCCAGAATTCTCCGTGCAAACTTATTTTCATGAAGCTTTCATGACTTTTCCCTTAATAGTCTGTGCTAACTTTAATCTAAATTATAAAATGATGTATCTAATTTTTTTTTTTTTTTTTTACCAAATCATTTTAATTGATAATTTATATGGCAATTTTTACTATTTTTTATTTTTTTATTAATTTTTTTTCCCCACAAATTATTTTTTTTCACATGAAATATTTATATATAGTCATATATGTCTACAGATATGAAGATTTACTTTTTTGGTATTAAAATTTTGCTCCATAGGCCTTTGGAATTGTTAACTTGTGTTAAGATAAAAAAAAAAGCTGTGTAAATGTATTTGGACATTTTATATCTTTGTATTGGTTGAAAATTCTCACTTGGTGAAACAAGATTGGTGCAGATAGCCAATGTGCTATATTGTGTTTTGTTATTGATTTTATTTTCTAAAAGTTATCTGTTTATTTATTTTATTTTTGTTTTTGTTTTAGTTTTTTTCCTTGTTAAAAATACAATTTAAACTCAGGGTATGTCTCCTTCCACAAAAAGTCTTTTATATAGACTGCCTTCTGTTTGCTCCAGCTTTATCCTGATGATTCTACCCTTTCTGCTTTTTACTGAAATATTCAGTACACCTTACTATCATAATTATAAAAGTAAAGTTTTCATGAAATATCATTGTTTGTTCCCTCCATATAATTTTCCTGTTGTGAAATAATCCCGTTTTCTCAGGCTTGAACCACTTCTTGCAAGAATTAAGGAAAAAACAGATGCAGTCTTGGTCCCGGACATCGATATGATAAGCTCGGAGACTCTCCAGTACATACCCACTGGCTCGGGCAGTGTCGGTGGCTTCTGGTGGAGTCTGCATTTCTCCTGGCGTCCCATGCCAAAACGAGAAGCCGTCAGACGGAAGAGTGAGATCGACCCTGTCAGGTAAAATTGAGGCCACGCCATGGGAAGTGATCTGGCCCCCCAAAAATTGGTGGTGTGGTTTACGTATGGTAAATGCAGGTATTATATGGCCAAGCTTCCAACTGGGGTAAATCAAAAAGTCCAAAAGTATAACAAGCAATACAGATTGAAGCCAATTTTGTCAAGATGTTCAGGGAACATTCTCTCTGGTCATATGTTTCATGGAAGTTTTGCAAGCTGGCTGTTCTCCTGAGTGATTGGGATATTTTCAATGTTAGTATTTGCGAGTGAAGAAACTTTGGAAACATCTGGATGAAGTGCTCCAGAATTCTAATTCAAAGTTTGGAAGTTTTGTTGTATAAAACCTGCATGAAAGCAATAATGCTTTTGAAAAACAGAATAAGTCAAAATAAAAGGACCAAAAAATACGTTTTCTTCCTCCCTGTAGGTTGGAACCTCTTCTGGCCCGAATTGGCGAAAATTCCAGCCGCGTTCTTGTCCCTGGAATAGATGCCATTGACTCAGAAACATTAGAATACTCAAAGAATGGGGGAATAGCAGTCGGCGGCTTCACTTGGAGCCTTCATTTTACTTGGAGCCCCTTTGTGCCAACGAAATGGGAGTTGGATCAAGGGTTTGGCAAAGAATGGCAACCTCTTAGGTAAACTATTAGGCTGCATTCCCATAAACCCATCAGACTAACTGGATCCATCTAACTCTGTGGAGGTTATCGCTAAAGTGCTTTCAGTGTAATCAGCTTGATTGTCTGGCAGGGTCCCTTGAGTAACTAGGGGGTATTTGATTTATGTTTATTACCCCCTTGTAGCTTAAGTAGACATGCCAAACATGTAAGCTCCTCACACTGAATTCAATTTAGCAAGAATCCCTGCAGAGTTAGATCGATCCAGCTAGTACGCTGGGTTTATGGGAACACTTCCTTAGGCTCATTTTACACAGATATGTCCCTGTAGATCTCCTAGCCCATTTTTGTATGAAGGTAATGATTGCATGGCTCGTTCACGTGCGCGCTGACATCGTGAACTCCCTGGACTTAAGGAAGTGTCCTTCATATACCATTGCCAATTGAGTTACTGAAACAGTGATTGTCACGGAGAGGATTATGGTGGGTTAAAGAAAAATCACCATAAAATTCTCTCTGAGGCACTTTAGCATGGTGTGGATAATGATTTTTACAGCTGATTTAATTCTTATTCACTGCATGCAAATAACTTCTCTGTTTCCTACTGGAATCATTGACATGTTGATTAATTTATTCTTTTCGTTAAAATTTTTGATTGTTTGCTTGTTTTCACAGAATGATTTATGGGTGCAAGTAATTCATCTTTTTTTTTCTTTTTTTTTTAATGTTTTGCCCAGTAGACATCTTTAAGCATGTTACAATAACATTAAGTAAACACTGTTTTCTATAGTCTATCTGAAGGATCTGGTGCAGGATGGGTGGAGTGTACAAGGGGTTCATCTTAAGTTGCATTTAAATTATCACTTGACCCTTCAGAGCTCCACGTTAAATTTTATGACCACCATAAAACTGACCTGTCCCAATATGAATCCAATAAAATTTTTTCCATTCATACTTGTCAGTGAACTTTGTAAACTAATGTTTGTAAACAAGAATGTGTTACTAAGATTGTTCAACAAAATAACAAAAATGCCCCCTGTAGTGGATTAAGTCTGTGATGAAAAGTTTGTTTTTTGTACCGGTAAACTCCTTTAAACTTTACCCTGGGCAAACTGATATGCACTGACTGTGTACATGATACCATGAGTGAAAGAGAAATTAATTTTTTTTAGGAAAGTTATCATTCTAAACCCTAAGGCAGCCAACAAATGTTATACCATTTAGGCTGTGTTCAGAAAAGAAGTTATCCTATGAGCAGGGATTCTTGCTAAGGCGTAGCTTAATTGTCTGGCACGCCCCCTTGTAAGTTAAAGTACTTGCCACGGGTAAAGTTGGGTAAACTTTGTGTCCCGTGATATTGTTCACGTTGCTTTGTGAGGGGACGTGCCAGACAATTAAGCCGATTACATTGACTGCACCTTAGCAAGAATTCCAGATGAAATAGATCAATCCTGCTCAGTGTTCACCGAAAGTCCAGCCATCTTGAAAAGTAGCTGGACTGAATGTCTGCTGGGTGGGAAAACTTCTCAGCCCGTTCTGAAAGTTGTCAGCCCCGGGCAGACGGTCCAGCCTTAATTTCTAACACTAATCCTGCTAGTATGGGGCAATTCAGAATGTGAAGATCCCAGTGCTAACTGGTCCACGGCCTAAATATGGCAGACCTACATGCAAGGAAGACCGCTTAATCCTGTAATGGTCTCTATGCCTTTCACACGCCTCCCCACGCATCATCCCTTGACCGGTCGAATTGAGACGAGATTTAATTACTGTGCCCCTGCAGGGACGATGCATGAGGAGGTGTGAAAGAGGTGGAGAGACTTTAAAGCTGATTACAATGATTGCACATAGGGAAAATCTTCTCCAGAGTTGGATCGATCCAGCTAGTACAATGGTTTTATCTGAAAGCTCCCTTAAAATCAGTTGCCTTTTTTTCTTAAATTTCATTTGTTTGCTGTCTTCTTTAAACAGTGAAAAGGGAAAAACATTCTGTGTAGAAAACATTTTTATTGTACAAAATTTGCTACTTATTTAGTTGACCATGAAAGCTAGCCAGCAAAGCTACTTAAAGAAATATAAAGTAAATGTGAATTAGAACTGGGCATGAGTAGTGGACAGAGTGACCGATTTTCTTTAAAACCCCAGCAGTAATTGAGAATAAAAGAACCATACTTGGTGGTAATCTCACACATTTGAATGAATGCTTTTCCTCTCAAATACACACAAATTGCACTTGTGTCCACGTAAAGGCAAAGCGATTGTTGTCATATATTGACTGGTCACAAAAAATGTGACACTTTAGAAGTTCACAAAAAATACTCCGTCAGAGGGAAAGACCTTTTCTTTAAAGTAGAGTTCAAGGAGACCCTGCTAACATATAGACAGTTCATGTGCATTGTAAGCTCCTGCAAACCCAGACAGCATAATTGCTTCATTTACATGAAGGAATATTTGGATGTCTACCTCAGTGAAAGGGTCACCCTGACCTCCCCAAATTATGTAAAAATCTCATGCTGAATCAGTGCCAGCCACTTGGACCTTTCGACTAGACTGGGTTCACATACCTAGTTGGATCTAACAGGATCGCTCCATCTCCAAGGGGTTTCTTGCTAAAGTGCTTTCAGCTTAACCAGCTTAGATGTCTGGCACGCCTACTGAAGCTGCTGAACAATAATTAATTACCCCCTAGCAGCTTCAGTAAGCTGAAAGCAATTTAGCAAGAATCCCCTTGAAAATAGATCGATCTGCAGTTAGTACGATAGGGTCTGGGAATGGTCCCTAAGACAGCTACACAGTTAACCCCATTTGAACTCCTTACAAGTGCTCTCAACTTAAACAGGTCTGGTCATAATGACCCTGAAATGACCAGCTTGACAAGTAATGACCTAATGGACCTATAATACCAAAAAAAAAAGGAGCAGACATTGGCTCAGTGCCAGCTGTCTTAAAAGGCAGTTGAATCTTATCTTAATACCTTTAATTCTACCTATATAAGATGATCATCATGTCCATCACAGTGAAAGGGTCATCTTGGCCCAATGGTTGTTATTTAAAAAAATTGTGAAGCCAGCTTTCCCAAAAGATTGCTGTTGTCCTATATGTAGGACAGCCTCTACCTCTCTCTTTTCAAAAGCAAATGGTGACACAACATAAATTTTTAAGCAGGGGCAGATCCAGAGATATTTTCTGACAGTCTTCCAAATGATCTTTATTGATCTGTCCTCCATTTTGACCGTCTTTCGACAGAAAACATTAGATACCCATCAATGTAAACTTGAAAATCTGACCGTCACTCGGAAGACCCACAAAACGGCCTAAATCTGCCCCTGTTTAAGCTATAAAAAAATTCCACTTCCGCATCATTTTGCTCTAGATTTTTCATCAAAATAAACCTCTTAAAGGTTGAGAAGTGGATTTGAAGCTCAGAAGAGATGGCACTATGATATAATGCCCAATGCCACAACCGCTTCAGTTTCAACTTCTCAATTAATTTCGTCATGGGAAAGTTTATAAATAAATCTTTGTAGAGTACTTTTCATGCCTTGCCATGGCCAAGGATAATTGGATTATGTTAGTTTAATTCAATTCATTCCTATGCATCTCTAGATTATAATGACTTTTTACTATATAAGATGATATGATACTTTTAGTACATTACCATTACATTATTGGTGTCTGCATTACCAGAAAACAAGTAAATATACTATGATTAGAGACTGGCAGGAAAGGGCAGATCAATGATAATAATAGTAATTAAAGAGTCAATAATGTCTTCCATGGAATCCATTATGCTATTGAGAGACCCTAAAAAGAGGAGACAAATTATGAGGTGAGCTATAATTATATGGACGTAAGCCGTAATAAATTGATATTGGAGGCATATTTCACTTGTGTCCACTTAAAGGCAAAGGAATTGTTGTCATATATCGACTGGTCACAAAAGTGTGACACTTAAAAACTTCACAAAAAAATACTCCATCAGAGGGAAAGACCTTTTCTTTAAAGTAGAGTTCAAGGAGATCCTGCTAACAGATAGACAGTTCATGTACATTGTCATCTCCTGCAAACCCAGGCAGTGTAATTGCTTCATTTACATGAAGGAATATTTGGATGTCTACCTCAGTGAAAGGGTCACCCTGACCTCCCCAAATTATGTAAAAATCTCATGCTGAATCAGTGCCAGCGACTTGGACCTTTCGACTAGACTGGGTTCACATACCTAGTTGGATCTAACAGGATCGATCCATCTCCAAGGGGTTTCTTGCTAAAGTGCTTTCAGCTTAACCAGCTTAGATGTCTGGCACGCCTACTGAAGCTGCTGAACAATAATTAATTACCCCCTAGCAGCTTCAGTAGGCTGAAAGCAATTTAGCAAGAATCCCCTTGAAAATAGATCGATCTGCAGTTAGTACGATAGGGTCTGGGAATGGTCCCTAAGACAGCTACACAGTTAACCCCATTTAAACAGGTCTGGTCATAATGACCCTGAAATGACCAGCTTGACAAGTAATGACCTAATGGACCTATAATACCAAAAAAAAAGGAGCAGACATTGGCTCAGTGCCAGCTGTCTTAAAAGGCAGTTGAATCTTATCTTAATACCTTTAATTCTACCTATATTAGATGATCATCATGTCCATCACAGTGAAAGGGTCATCTTGGCCCAATGGTTGTTATTTAAAAAAATTGTGAAGCCAGCTTTCCCAAAAGATTGCTGTTATCCTATATGTAGGACAGCCTCTACCTCTCTCTTTTCAAAAGCAAATGGTGACACAACATAAATTTTTAAGCAGGGGCAGATCCAGAGATATTTTCTGACAGTCTTCCAAATGATCTTTATTGATCTGTCCTCCATTTTGACCGTCTTTCGACAGAAAACATTAGATACCCATCAATGTAAACTTGAAAATCTGACCGTCACTCGGAAGACCCACAAAACGGCCTAAATCTGCCCCTGTTTAAGCTATAAAAAAATTCCACTTCCGCATCATTTTGCTCTAGATTTTTCATCAAAATAAACCTCT